ATGAGTCTGATTATTCTTATTTATTGTAGATTGCTAACCCTGTATGTTGCTACTAGCGGGTAAGTTAAATGTTGTCGTTGGCTACAAACACATGTTTTCTAGTTAACAGTTGGTTTTGATTACATTGTGTCATTTGTTGAATCATAAATTGCAAAATTATAACAAGTGTCTGTGAGTATTAACATCTGTGGAAATAATTACAGGTTGTTAAAATGTATTGTAAGAGTTTGAATTAATAAATCGTGTTGACTTTTTGACTCGTTTACGTTGAATCTAAATTATATTTTAGATGGAACAAATGGAGTTAAAAAGATACACCGCAGCAACACTTCTTCAGGTGTAAGAATATAAGTCCCCAGATTGTCCTAAGATGTGACGAAATGGTTGTCTGGCTCGGTGACTAGGTTGGTGTCATGACATCGGATCCTCGGATCCTCGTATCGTGAATCGGATCCTCGTATCGTGACTTGGATCCTCGTATCCTCGTATCGTGAATCGACGTCTAAGTCTATGCTCGCCAGCATTGTCCAGGGTCACAATAGATCGCGCGATTGAACGTGAACATCACCCGACCGTGCGCCGTGATGCTCCGCACAGCTGTCTGCCATATCAGAGCGCGACCAATAACACGGGTATCCTTTTGCTACCGTACTTGAAAATATTGAACGTTGTCATGAGATTAATATTTTTCAGATATTACATTGATCCCCTGTGGACAATAAAGTTGACGATGAACCAGAACATGAATAATATGGAACTGGCTTATTATTAGTTCAAAAAACGAAATAGTCACATGGGTCGTAACGTTAAAACTGGCATCAAGGTATACTCCTCACAAAAAGTTAAGCAACACAAATTTTTAGTCTCATTACATTTTCATTTATTGTAATTGCAAATCATGGTGCAATAGAAAGGTGAAACATATGTACACACGATTAACAAAATGAAATGAAATGGCATTGAACAATATTCGACTTACAAATCACCCGTGAAACAGTAGTGCAAAATGTACTGCATTGATGGAGCAAAATGTTAACATGAAGGTTCAAGTCAGTGGACAGCGAAGCAGTGTTCAGTGACGCGTATGACCACCATGAGCACAAATGTAAGCTTCTACACGTCTTGGCGTTGATCAAATGAGCCTTTAAAGTTGATGTTGTGGAATGTTCTGCCATTCTCTCTGTAACGCCTGCTCAAGGTCATCCTGAGTCTGGCGGTGAACATAGGGACCGTAAGCACGACTTCCAATAATGCCCCAAGCATGTTCAATGGGATTAAGATCAAGTGACCTTGCAGGCCAGTCCATATGTGTGATGTTGTTGGTCTAAACAACATCGTTAGGAACTCTTTCTCAGGCATTATCATCTATGAACGGGAATTATCATCCATAATAATGAAGTTAGGACCCGCTTGTTGTGCCAGAGGAATGATTACATATAGGTTTACACCGATCAAGGTGCATGTGTGAAGAGTGGAGCACATTCATGCCACACATTTTGCATGTTGTTTCCGAGGGTGGTTGTGTTCGGGTGTTGTTGTCAATGTTATCAGATAAATCAATTTGACAGTCACTAAAGGTTATGTATTCTTACCTTTCAGTAACGTGTCGGCAAAAGTCGCAATCGAGATTGATAACGATATTACACTGAAAATACTTGTTGCTTAATGTTTTGTGAGGAGAATATGTGTACTGTCACATATGCATTAATGCATAACTAAATGCATTAGTTCTGCCGTGGTGTACCGGTTTGGGCTTTGTGCATGATAGGGCGTGTCTAATATTCACTTGGGTCAGACCTGAAGTACGAAAATAGTTATTGACATATTGAAATATTCATTTTGGCAGAGTAAGCAAACATCTGAAGTTTATTCGTAGTTTATTGAACTTTGTAACAGTTTCGGAAAGATCACAACTGGAGGCGATGTATAGTGATCGGTTGAACTCTTGGCCACATTAAAATTATTGAAATAATGTTTCGAATGTTTATCTATGAACATTTTCAGTTACAAAACAGCTTTGATGTCAACGAGTTCAAAGTAAAATAGTTATTGAACGCAGCAAGTGTGTTCAGTTTATTGACAAGTGAAGCGTCCTTGAGATGGGCGCCACAGAATGTTTATGTGAAACTACATACGCGATGATCTCTGGAATAACTGTACTCCCGTGTAACAGCCGGCATGTGCTGTGTTGGCTAGGGTGACAAGCGTTGTCGATGTAGATGTACTTTGGGAGTAAGGGCTACATTGTCGACTTTGTGTACCTTGAAAGTACGGGTGAGTTGTCGACGTTGAGATCAGAAATTACGGGATGCGTTGTTGACGATGAGGTTGGAGAGTACGTAGTGCTTTGTCGTCGTTGGAGAGTACGGATACGTTACGATGCTGGCTTAAAGAGCACGCAGTGCATTCTCGATGTTAGGTTTGGAGAGTATGTAGTACTTTGTCGTCGTCGGGGTTGGAAAATAAGGAGTACTTTGCTGATGTTGGGTTAAAGAGCACGCAGTGCATTGTCGATGTTGGGTTTGGAGAGTATGTAGTGCTTGGTCGACTTTGGGGTTGGAAAGTAGGGGTGCGTTGTTAACGTTGAGATTGGAAAGTACGGTGTGCTTAGCTGATGTTGGGACTGGAGAGTACGGAGTGCCTTGTCGACTTTGGGTGTTGGAGAGTACGGAGTGCCTTGTCGACTTTGGGTGTTGGAGAGTACGGCGTGCTTTGTCGACGTTGGGTGTTGGAGAGTACGGAGTGATCTGTCGACGTTGGGGTTACAGTGTACGGGTACGTTATTGGGGTTGGGGTGGCGAGAACGGGTTACGCTGTCCATATTGGGTTTCATAGGAACTGAAAGCGTTGTCGATGTTTGGGACAGCAAATGCACAAGTACTTAGTACAAGTACAATATTAAACTTAGAAAAGAGGTAGATCATGATTCATTTCGATACATATACGGCACATAGTGTAGATAATACTAGATATGATGGTATCGCGCCAGGTAATTATCTTGAGGAATGAGTGAGTGAGTGAGTGTAGTTTCACGCCGCACTCAGCAATATTCCAGCTATAAAATATGGCGGCCGTCTGTAAATAATCGAGTCTGGACCAGACAATGCAACACGAGCATCGATCTACGCAATTGGGAACCGATGACCGGTGTCAACCAAGACAGCGAGCCTTGCCTCCCGATCCCTCTTACAACAAGCATGGGTTCCTGAAGATGAATTCTAACCCGGACCTTCACGAGTTTCTTAAGGAATGGCCTGCATAGTAAAGTAGCCTGAGCCCATTTACTACTTTCCCAGCAGTATTCCAGCAAGATCAAAGCAACAGAATTCGGAGTTAGTCATCTCTATCGTGAAACGCATAAGTTCCGACGGAGGCATTTGTTTTGCAGGCTTAATAACCTATTACTAGTAGTGTTTGGTTCGCTAGCAGTTAGTCACAGGTGGTAATGAAATATTCATGTTTACATGCATCTGCCTTTTTCTAATTGTAAATGTTTATAGAATATGGGACTACTGCGTTTTGGAATTTCTCAAACTGGTGCATCAGGGGTATTTTATGAATAACACACAATTATACCCTCAACCTCTCATGGGTGACTCACATTAAGGTTCACTTCCTGCTCAAACAATCCAGATAACACTTCACAAAGGTATTTACATTTTCCACAGGCGGATCCAGAAGGGGGGTGCATGGTTGCGCCCCTCCTTTTGTCCTGAAAGTTTTTAAATGACCATTGAAACTCTCCTGAAAATGAAGTGTGCACCCCCACTTTCTCAAAAAGCTGTATCTGCCCGTTTTCAGTCCTAAATATAAACTTGCACATCCTCGCCTAACTCACTACATTCTGCTTACCACCCCTCCACCAGGATTCCCCAATGTAAAGAGACTGGGGGTTCCAGGATCCTGCTTCACAGTGGACACACTAATAGGGAACCCTCACTGAACCCACACAGTGTGTCAATGTCCAGTCTATACCTGACAATCATTGTACTTCAGTGAGTGAGTTCAGTTTTACGCTGCTTTTAACCATATTCCAGCAATATCACAGCAGAAATGGGCTTCACACATTGTACCCATGTGGGGAATCGAACCCGTCTTCCGCGTGAAGGCTGTATTTCATTCTGTGAGCAATGTGAGCATGGTGTTGAGCAAGACATCTCTCCCTGAAGACAGTTGAATGGCAGGAGGGAAATTTGCCTTGTGTATAATTGTTAGAAGTGCAATGCTGAACTTCGCTTCTCCATTGATTCATATCTCTCTCTCTCTCTCACACACACACACACACACACACATACACACAGAGCATTCTTATGGATGTGTACATGGTTTTGTTGCTTTTATTCAACCAATATGTATCCATACTATAGGTGTCACATCACTGATTATAGCCACTCACCTTACATACAGATATAAATACTAACCAAAGACATGGACACTTCATACACAATATCATCTTTGCAGCTATAGCCCACTCTTAAATTGTAAACAACATTGTTACAGGCATGTTCTAAATTGTAAATAGACAATATTGGGATGTGTACATGAAAACTTGCTTTTGAGCATAATTTTGTGTAATAATGGAATTGTGTATATGTGGCAGCACATCTTAAATATATATATACTTAGACTGCATTTCCAGGTTTAGATACATTCATTGAGGTCAGTTGCGGACTTATCATCCTGATTTGAAACAGTTAACACAAAGGAAATACTTAAAAAGGAACAACTGTTCAGTTGATCAGTGAAGCCAAAGGGAGACTACAGACAATTGTGATTTGGTTGGTTGGTTTGTTGTTTAATGCTGCACTCAGTAATATTCCAACTATATGGCGGCAGTCTGTAAATAATCGAGTCTGGATCAGACAATCCAGTGATCAACAGCATGAGCATCGATCTATGCAACTGGGATACGATGACATGTGTCAACCAAGTCAGCAAGACTGACCACCCGATCCCGTAGTCGCCCCTTAGGACAAGCATGGGCTACTGAAGATCAATTCTAACAATGATCTTCATGGTTAAACAATGGTGAAGTCCCTGCGATCAGTGAATGATATGAGATGTACCTCAGTGGAATGTGTTTGCTACATAAGTTTCATAGATCCACACTGCACAATTATCATCCAGTTTCTGTTTCTTCCTGCTCTGATGGGTGTCTTAATTTGACACCTGGTGCACCAGTTGCATTTTTGTAAGCACATGTTGTACACAGATAGCAGTTGTGGATGTAAGATGTTAGACTTGTCCAAATGTTCACCCCCTCTCACAGATGAGCTCTATCACCTGAAACAGTATAAGTCACATTGTTAGGAAGGGTTTCTTGTCCAAGGTATTTAAAAGAAGTTAAAGTACACCATCAGGTGCAAATATCACCATGACAGATAAACATATGGGTATCTCCACATACAGGTGTATCACAGGCACTTGTTTCCACATACAGTTGACCTTATATTCCAGTGTCCCCACAGATAGTTGATCTAAACTGCAGGTGTCTCAACATACAGGTGCCTCAGAATACACTTAAAAGAAGATAGATAGTGAGTGAGTGAGTTTAGTTTTACGCTGCACTCAGCATTATTCTTGCTATATGGCGTCAGTCTGTAAATAATCAAGTCTGGGTTACGACAAGCATGGGTTACTGAAGATCAATTCTAACCCGGATCTTCGCAAGTATGGACCGATTGAGGTGTCTTCACAAACAAGTGACATCACATACAGTTGTGTCTACATACACATGGCTCGGTGTCCTCACATACAAGTGTCTAACACATACATTTGAAATTACATACAGATTGTGTCACATATAGGTGACCTCACATACAGATAGGGGCGGTGGGGTAGCCTAGTGGCTAAAGTGTTGGCTCGTCATGCCAAAGACCTGGGTTTGCTTCCCCACATGGGTACAATGTGTGAAGCCCATTTCAAGGGTTCCTCGCTGTGATATTGCTGGTATATTGCTAAAAGCGGTGTAAAACTATACTCGCTCACTCACTCACAAACAAATGTCCCTAGAGACAGTTTACATCACATACAGGTGCCCTCCCCTCCAACAACACCCATTTGCACAGGTGAGTCATAAATATCTGTCTCAGTCCAGTCTTCACAATGAGTGAAATATAAATCATCAGTTTTAATCATATTTATCATAATTTAACAATCTTTACACTCAGTTCTCATGTTTCCATTTACAAGAGCACCTGTGATTAAAGGTAAGTTTACATACAAGGTGGATACTGATGAATATAAAGCTGCATACCTGAGCGCCTACGTGGATTATGAAGCACACAACTTTATGGATAATAGATTAGCTTGATAATGGTGTAAGAACATACACCGAAACATTGCTTGTGCGATAAACAAGAAGTTGTTATCCATAAAGTCGTATGCTACATTATTATTGACCCACCAATTTCTAGAATGCTGATCAACTTCTAGAATGCTGATAAACAGTCATGCATGGATACATGATTGGATGCATACCTGGGTGGAAGCCCAGTGAGTGAGACCGTTTATTAGCACTACAACATGTGTCTATTGTTCCTGGACTACCACAGCTGAGTGGTTGTTGTGGATGAGTGGTGAAGGGTGACCAGCAAAAACAAGCCTCCCAGCAGTGCTTTGGTATTCTTTCAACTGATCATATCAGTGACTACTGTTCTGTAACAACTGGTACACTGTAAATGTGAAACTGCTGGCAAAAACACCAATCAAATTTTCATATCAATTGAACATTTTCTGTAATATATATTTGTGAATAAATCAAGGAGTTCAAACACTACCAGATGTGACCAGTCATCAGGCATAGCCTTTAATGGAACTGAGCACTGGTGTGTTGTGTGGAGCATGGGTTGAGCACCGGTGTGTGGTGTGGAGCTTGGGGTGTGTGGTGTGGAGCTTGGGTTGAGCACTGGTGTGTGGTGTAGAGCTTGGGTTGAGCACCGGTGTGTGGCGTGGAGCTTGGGTTGAGCACTGGTGTGTTGGGTGGAGCTCGGGTTGAGCATTGGTGTGTCATGTGGAGCTTGGGTTGAGCACTGGTGTGTCATGTGGAGCTTGGGTTGAGAATTGGTGTGTTGTTTGGAGCTTGAGTTGCATACTGGTGTGTTGTGTGGAGCTGGGGTTGAGCACTGGTGTGTTGTGTGGAGCTTGGGTTGAGAATTGGTGTGTCATGTGGAGCTTGGGTTGAGAATTGGTGTGTTGTGTGGAGCTCGGGTTGGGCAGTGTTGTGTTGTGGAGAGCTTGGGTTGAGCACTGGCATGTTGTGTGGAGCTTGGGTTGGGCACTGGTGTGTTGTGTGGAGCTTGGGTTGAGCACTGGTGTGTCATGTGGAGCTTGGGTTGAGAATTGGTGTGTTGTGTGGAGCTCGGGTTGGGCAGTGTTGTGTTGTGTAGAGCTTGGGTTGAGCACTGGCATGTTGTGTGGAGCTTGGGTTGGGCACTGGTGTGTTGTGTGGAGCTTGGGTTGAGCACTGGTGTGTCATGTGGAGCTTGGGTTGAGCTTGGTGTGTTGTGTGGAGCTTGAGTTGAGTACTGGTGTGTTGTGTGGAGGTTGGGTTGAGCACTGGTGTGTTGTGTGGAGCTTGGGTTGAGCACTGGTGTGTTGTGTGGAGCTTGGGTTGAGCACTGGTGTGTTGTGTGGAGTGGAGCTCGGACTGAGTACTGGTGTGAGGTGTTGAGTGGAGCTCGGGTTGAGCACTGGTGTGTTGTGTGGAGCTCGGGTTAGGCATTGGTGTGTCATGTGGAGCTTGGGTTGAGAATTGTGGCACAGTGTGAAGCTTTGTATTAGGGCAGGCAGTGGTGTGTAAGTGTGCATCTCGTTGTCGGTAAGAATGGCACCGTATGAAGCTCCGTGTGTGTGTTTGACATAAACTATAAATAACATACTGATTCTGAATGAAACAGCAAAATGATTCCACACATTTCTAAAATGTACCTCCATATCAAGCCACAGTTTCATATCAGGGAAAATTACCAAACAATGATGAATATACAGGTATAATTTAAAAACATGGCCACACTTCTGTTGCCATAGAGAATTGAAAAATATTCAATACATTAAAGTTAACACAATGTCATATTTCCAAAAAAAGACAATTCTGTTAATTGCCCTCAGCTGCTACAAATGGCATATTATATTGGCTATATGGTAATGCAATTACTGACTGTAATATTTCACAGACCGAGATGTAAAATATAACTGACATCTGAAACTGATTCGCCCCATTTTCTGAAGGTGTTATTTAAGGCTATCACTTAACCATCTCCTCCGCTATACCTACAGGGTAAACAATATAGACTGTCACACCCCATCTCCTCCCCTATACCTACAGGTGCAACAATGGAGGCTGTGACATCCCATCTCCTCCCCTATACCTACAGGTGCAACAATGGAGACTGTCACACCCCATCTCCTCCCCTATACCTACAGGTGCAACAATGGAGACTGTCACACCCCATCTCCTCCCCTATACCTACAGGTGCAACAATGGAGACTGTGACACCCCATCTCTTCCCCTATACCTACAGGGGCAACAATGGAGGCTGTCACACCCCATCTCCTCCCCTATACCTACAGGTGCAACAATGGAGGCTGTCACACCCCATCTCCACCCCTATACCTACAGGTGCAACAATGGAGGCTGTGACACCCATCTCCTCCCCTATACCTACAGGTGCAACAATGGAGGCTGTGACACCCATCTCCTTCCCTATGCCTACAGGGGCAACCATGGAGGCTGTGACACCCCATCTCCACCCCTATACCTACAGGGGCAACCATGGAGGCTGTGACACCCCATCTCCACCCCTATACCTACAGGGGCAACCATGGAGGCTGTGACACCGCATCTCCTCCCCTATACCTACAGGGGCAACAATGGAGGCTGTCACACCCCATCTCCACCCCTATACCTACAGGTGCAACAATGGAGGCTGTGACACCCCATCTCCTCCCCTATACCTTCAGGTGCAACAATGGAGGCTGTGACACCCCATCTCCACCCCTATACCTACAGAGGCAACAATGGGGGCTGTGACACCCCATCTCCACCCCTATACCTACAGGGGAAAGAACGAAGGCTGTGACACCCCATCTCCACCCCTATACCTTGTCATGCTATCATTAATGTAACAGCTTTAACATCAAAGTGAACACCAACTATTATATTGAATGACATTTAGTAGTGTGTATTGACAGATTCAGTGCATGTGGAACCAGGTAATGATATAAAGCTTATTCTAACAATGCTTCAGTTATCTAACAGCAGGTGGGATCGAGGAGTATTGCAACAGATGACAGACAAACCCCTATGCAAGATAGGCTAGCCTAAACTACAAACACCAAACAGCATACAATGCTGATTTATTGAATGAATATGCCGTCAGGCAAGTTTAATGCAATATCATGGTGTGGGACACCAGACAAGATCTTGACATTTTAAGGACTGATATGCTTGGGTGTATGGACTGATATGCTAGGGTGTATGGACTGATATGCTTGGGTGTATGGAATGATATGCTGGGTGTATGGACTGATATGCTTGGGTGGGGTGTATGGATTGATATGCTAGGGTGGGGTGTATGGGCTGATATGCTGGGGTGTATGGACTGATATGCTGGGGTGTATGGAATGATATGCTAGGGTGTATGTATTAGATATACCCACACTTTCCGAGGTGTGCCGCTCAATACCCCTACTGTTTGAGTCGTGTGGCCTCGAGAGCGCTAGCCGAGGAGACCACATGACTCAAACAGTAGGGTATTGGCTGACACATCGAGGAAGTGTGGGTACATCTGACTTATACCTCACTTCTGGTCGAAGTTGAGTTTATTGTAACACTTTATGTTCTAATTATGACAAAATTTTTATTTCTTTTCCATCTGTTTCATTTATTTTTAGCCCACTGGTTAAGACCCTCAAATGTCCAGCGTCTATAGTCTGTTTGCAGTGAAACCTACCGATCAATTTCACTTTAAACAAAAAAGTACTCAAATAAGTGAAATTAAGATTGCGAATCTCATAATTTGACCTTGCCAAATGAACATCTCAGAATTATATTCAACTTAGAATATAATTTGTTTAACAAATGATCATAGTTTCAAATCAATATTATTGGTTTGTATTACAATATTAGGGGTAAGCGCAGTAGTTGGAACAGTGAAACAAATGCCCGTGCGGTACGTAACAAGCGTTAACTTCTACCAAACCTGCATGTTCTGGGTGTTTCATTTAATGCGCATACCCCATTGTAATACAAACAAATATGAAACTATGATCGTTTGTTAAACAACTTTTATCCTAAGCTGAATATAATTCTGAGATTTAAATGTTCAATAGGTAAGTTAAAATTATGGGGATTTGCAATCTTAGTTTCACTTTATTTGATTTACTTTTTTAAAGTGATATTCATCGGTACGTTTTCACTGCAAACAGACTATTAGCAGTCGATTGCACGTGCATGCACGGGCTTGCACGATTTCACACGATTTTAAACACCAGTTCGGCCGAGAATGACTTCAAGTAGCCCCAAATATGCATAATATTACTGATAATTGACATTTGTATGGGCAGACCAATGCGCATGCTTCTCTGACTCGCATGTGGCATAGAAAACATTTGGAAGATCACACGTTAAGTTAAGCCATGGATGCTGAAGAGTGGACAGAGGATTTTCTTTCTCAAATTGACAGTTCGTTAGCGTCACATTTCGATCTGGATGATAAGGAAGATTTTGAAACAATCGAAATCTCAATGTGAGTCCATTGAAATAAAATTATATTTCGCCGTTTGTTGTGTCTTTATTGCTTCGGTATACCCTAGTGAAAAAGTGTAGGTGTATCATTGATACACCTACACTTTTGACAGGTGTACCGGTCAATACACCTACACTTTTAACAAAGGAAACCATGGCAACGAGACCGGAAGTGGGGTATAAGGACTGATATGCTAGGGTGGGGTGTATGGACTGATATGCTAGGGTGGGGTGTATGGACTGATATGCTAGGGTGGGGTGTATGGACTGATATGCTGGGGTGTATGGACTGACATGCTGGGGTGTATGGACTGATATGCTAGGGTGGGGTGTATGGACTGATATGCTGGGGTGTATGGACTGATATGCTAGGGTGGGGTGTATGGACTGATATGCTGGGGTGTATGGACTGATATGCTAGGGTGTATGGACTGATATGCTAGGGTGGGATGTATGGACTGATATGCTGCAGTGTATGTACAATATTAACCAGGAAGTGACACTCACGCTAGGTTCCATGAGGACTGGGTCAAGGCAGCGGTGCATGGTGCTGCACACAATCTCATCCAGCAGTACCTGCACTAGGCTGAAACACACAACATCGATGAGCTTCACTTCAGTCCTGACACCATGTCAGGAGAGTTTTGGTACAACAGGATTGATCCATGGCACCAATTTGCAGATATCTATTTACCAACATATCTGATACTGTATACTGATGCTGTGGTTACAAGGCCTACTACCCGATACATACAAGGTGAGCTGAGCAGTGTATACAGTGTACAAGGAGGTTTTGTTTCAATTTGTTTGTTGTTTAATGCCACAATACAAAACAACATGGCACTACTCCAACTATGATGGCCAGCAAATAAATGATGGAATATTTGGGATTCAACTTTTCTTTGTTTAGAAAAAATTCTAGAGGGGTATGCTTTGGGGGTTGAGCACCATTTGGGATTTGAACTAACACAAGGGTCTGGCACCAGCCCAGTACAAAGTCAACAGTCTGACCCACTCAGCCACCATGGCTTCCACAAAAATGAAAGTCTAACAACTGGTAGTCTAGACAAAGTGACAAGTGTTAATGGACACAGCTCCCATTGTCGAAGGCTATGTTACACAGTGCCTTGCAGAAAGTGTAACTTGAAGTACTGGAAGTATTACAATTTGTACCTCACTTAAAAAGAGTAATCCCAAACATGCTACATCTGACCACTTTCTAAAAGGAAGTGTGTATTCACGGCTTTTAAATAATCAAGTTTTGACCAGACAATCGAGTGACTGATAGTGTGAGCAACACTCGCTGTTGGGATACAATTACACTCAATGAACCAAGTCACTGAGACCGACCACCCAATAACTTTACTTGTGACCAGCAAGGGGAGCCATGGTTAGGTAAGGAAACAGTGAGTGAGTAAGTTTAGTTTTATGCCACACTTAGCAATATTCCAGCTATATGGCGGCTGTCTGTAAATAATCAAGTCTGGACCAGACAATCCAGTGATCAACAGCATGATCATTGACCTGCGCAATTGGCAACCGATGACATGTGTCAACCAAGCCAGCGAGCCTGACCACCCGATCCCGTTAGTCGCCTCTTACGACAAGCATGGGTTACTGAGGGTTCATTCTAACCTGGACCTTCATGGTAAAGGTAAGGAAAGAGTTGCTGTGCACATGATTTCTCAGTAAAGAAACTTGTGATCACAAAACCATGACTGTCACAAAGGTTTTACAGTTGTTCTCTTCTTGTTCACTCACAACACCATAAACACTTACTTCTCATCGGAGACAAATCTCCACAGGTACAGCTGCAGATAGTGTGTGTCCACCTGGATCTGTTGGAGGCCGTATCGGCCAAATGTTCTCAGGAGTACACACTCCAAGAAGGTCTGAAGAGGAAAACGAGGATGAGATTGGTGGACAATGGACCATGATAGTACATCATGTATTTACAAAAGTGACACATGTGAAAATGTCTTTCAAAGGTATCTACATTTTGGGGAAATAGTATTAGTCACAATACTGGGCTTGTCAAACTTGATCACTGACTGAGTCTTAGAATCATAGAGCTGGACCACATATAACAACTTTTGTAGTAAGAAGAGATCACCTTCAACATTACAAGCAGAGGGGCTTGGTTCAGCTTTTCATTATAAATGGCTGGATTGAGTGAGTTAAGTTTATGCCACTTTTAGCAATATTCCAGCAATATCACGTGGGGGGACACCAGAGATGGGCTTCACACATTGCATCCATGTTGGAAATCAAACCCTGGTCTTCGGCGTGACGAGCGGACACTTTAACCACTAGGCTACCCCATCGCCCCATAAAGGCAGGATGCGTCACCTTGTCAGACGTTGATACGTACCTTGAGGCTGATCTTGATGATGCCTGTGAGGACAGATACCTTGGAGAACTCAACTGCACTGAATATTTCTATCTTCTCTGAGAACAGCTTCTGTATGTTGCTAATGAGGCTGTTGTCCACACTGAAAGACAGCAGGTAGGTTTGTGGATATCACTATTACTGGCCATCACGATTGATGGTGGGGATACATGTATGTTTGTAAGTGTGATCACATCACTGTCTCAACAGGACAGTTAATGTGTCTGCAGTTGTGCCCTACTGAGTGGAGGTGTGTTCAGAGTTGGTTGTGTGAGGTGGTTAGCTATTCTAAATGAGGGTGAGCAATCAGCATTCAATCAGACAATCCAGTGATATATACTATGAGCAACGATACATGCTATCAGGGCATGATGACCTGATATCTACCAAGTCACTGTGGATGATAACCTGATATCTACCAAGTTGCTGTGCATGATGACCTGATATCACTCAAGTCACTGTGGATGACCTGATATCACTCAAGTCACTGTGGATGACCACCTGATATCACTCAAGTCACTGTGCATGATGACCTGATATCACTCAGGTCACTGTGCATGATGTCCTGATATCTACCAAGTCACTGTGGATGATAACCTGATATCAACCAAGTCACTGTGCATGATGACCTGATATCACTGTGGATGATGACCTGATATCAACCAAGTCACTGTGCATGATGACCTGATATCAATCAAGTTACTGTGCATGATGACCCACTATCTACTAAGTCGCTGTGGATGATGACCTGATATCTATCAAGTCAATGTGGACAGTGACCTCATATCAACCAAGTGACTGTGCATGATGGCCTGATATCTACCAAGTCGCTGTGCATGATGACCTGATATCAACCAAGTCGCTGTGGATGGTGACCTCATATCAACCAAGTCAATGTGGATGACCTGATATCACTCAAGTCACTGTGCATGATGTCCTGATATCTACACAGTCACTGTGGATAGAGACCTGATATCAACCAAGTTACTGTGCATGATGACCTGATATCACTCAAGTCACTGTGGATGATGCCCTGATATCAACCAAGTCATTGTGCATGATGACCTGATATCAACCAAATCATTGTGCATGATGACCTGATATCAACCAAGTGACTGTGGATGATGAGCTGTTATCAACCACGTCACTGTGCATGATGACCTGATATCTACCAAGTCGCTGTGGATGATGACCTGATATCAATCAAGTTACTGTGCATGATGACCTGATATCTATCAAGTCAGTGTGGAGTGACCTGATATCAACCACGTCACTGTGCATGATGACCTGATATCTACCAAGTCGCTGTGGATGATGACCTGATATCAATCAAGTTACTGTGCATGATGACCTGATATCTATCAAGTCAGTGTGGACAGTGACCTGATATCAACCAAGTGACTGTGCATGATGGCCTGATATCTACCAAGTCGCTGTGCATGATGTCCTGACATCTACCAAGTCACAGTGGATGATGACCCTGTCCACTGAGTTATCTCTAGTGACAAGTGTAGGTTCCTCAGGACTTATTCTGTGTGATGTGTGTATGTGACTATCTCATCTTTGGTGTGAAAGACAATAAGACAATAGCTTATTTACCTGTTTATGTACAATTACCTGTTGTAAGTGACGATAGTGTGTGTGCCCATGTACAGGTGCTTGTGATTGATGTGTGACTGTCTCATTGTGGGGAATGTACGATCTCAGTTCCTGTCAATGTGCGTGTGAGTGCGTGCATGCTTGTCTGTGTTTTTGTGTCCATGTCTCTGTCCATGTCTTGGTTGATTGAGTGATATCATGTCTGTATGTCTGCATCTCTGCATGCAAGTGTGTTGTGTGATATGTGTGTGCATGATATATTTTTGATTATATTGACCAGGGTGTACATCTGGCTGCTGAGACTGGCTGTATGGGTGTGCATGATGTATTTGTAATTATCTCACCTGGGGGAGTAGGACCAGGGTGTATGTTTCTGCTGCTGAGACTGGCTGTATGTGCGATGTGTGTGTGATTATCTCACCTGGGGGAGTAGGACCAGGGTGTACGTTTCTGCTGCTGAGACTGGCTGTAGGTGTGTGTGTGTGATGTGTGTGTGATGTGTGTGATGTGTGATTATCTCACCTGGGGGAGTAGGACCAGGGTGCACGTTCTGCTGCTGCTGAGACTGGCTGTGTGTGTGTGATGTGTGTGTGTGATGTGTGTGTGCATGATGTATTTGTGATTATCTCACCTGGGGGAGTAGGACCAGGGTGTACGTTTCTGCTGCTGAGACTGGCTGTATGTGTGTGTGTGATGTATGTGCATGTGAAGTATGTGCATGTGATGTTTGTGTGCATGATGTATTTGTAATTATCTCACCTGGGGGAGTAGGACCAGGGTGTACGTTTCTGCTGCTGAGACTGGCTGTAGGTGTGTGTCCGCCGACTTGAGTCACTGCTACGCTCTTTGCGTACACCTTCCTCATAGAACTGCCCAACTTGGTTGTCAATGGCTGAGATGTCCTCGACCACACGCTTCATGACAGCACGGACATTGCGAGGCTCGATTGTATTCAGCCAGTCCCGAGTTTCAACACTCTTCCTCATCATCTGCAAGGTGAAGGTCAGACTGTCACTACATGGACATGCAGATCATTATTCTAATACACAATGTAACTTCAGCAAGCTATGAAATATCTCATATCAACCATGTCCATCACTGGATGCGAAGATATTAACAACTCAGTATCCTGACAATACCCTGGTGAGGACAACAAACGTCTTGAAACCATTCATCCTTCAACAGAGACTTACTGAGTTTGGTTTTACGCCGCTTTTAGCAATATTCCAGCAACATCACGGTGGGGGACACCAGAAATGGGCTTCACACATTGTACCCATGTGGGGACTCGAACCCGGGTCTTCGGCATGACAAGTCAACGCTTTAACCACTAGGCTACCCCACCGCCCCCTTCAACAGAGAGGCTGAGTTGGTGAGTCCATGTGTAACACATGGTAAGAAAGGAATGCCCTATGTGGCAGATTTTGAGTCCTATGCAACTTAACTAAAGTGAGTGGGTTTGGTTTTATGCCGCTTTTATCAATATTCCAGCAATATCATGGTGTGGGACACCAGGAATGGGCTTCACACATTGTACCCATTTGGGGAATTGAACCTGGGACTCTGGTGTGATGAGCGTACACTTTAACCACTAGGCTACTCCCCTGCCCCCTGTGTAACTACAGCCTCATGCATGGTGAGAAAGGTCCAACCTACCTGTGAGATTGTGAGACCTTGCACTCGGACATAATGGTTCAACAGTTTCTGTGCAGTGTCCTTGGCCATTGCCCACAGATCAGCTACAGGGGTCACCTGACTCTTCTCAGCCAACAGAAACTGTTCTTCTGTGAGTGTTATCTGGAAATAGGCAGAAAGACGTCAGTGGGATAACAGCATTGAGTGGGATAACAGAATTGAGTGGGATGTCAAAATGTTGAGTGGGATAACAGCATTATGTGGTATGTTAGAATGTTAAGTGGGATGTCAAAATGTTGAATGGGATAACAGCATCAAGTGGGATGTTAGAATGTTGAGTGGGATAACATCATTAAGTGGGATGTCAGAATGTTGAGTGGGATAACTGCATTAAGTGGGATGTTAGAATGTTGCGTGGGATAACATCATTAAGTGGGATGTTAGAATGTTGAGTGAGATAACAGCATTAAGTGGGTGTTAGAATGTTGAGTGGGATAACAGCATTAAGTGGGATGTTAGAATGTTGAGTGGGATAACAGCATTAAGAGGGATGTTAGAATGTTGAGTGGGATAACAGCATTAAGAGGGATGTTAGAATGTTGCGTGGGATAACATCATTAAGTGGGATGTCAGAATGTTGAGTGAGAAAACATTAAGTGGGATGTCAGAATGTTGAGTGGGATAACAGCATTAAGTTGGATGTTAGAATGTTGAGTGGGATAACAGCATTAAGTTGGATGTTAGAATGTTGAGTGGGATAACAGCATTGAGTGGGACGTCAGAATGTCAATTGGTATGTCATCATCCCCTTGACATGACATAATGTGGAGTGGCCAAAGTCATGTTCAAAGGAGGTCATGTTATCTTGTGCAATTTCATGATGTTGTGACATTATTTAGGGTTTTAACAATGTAACAATTGTGTGTATGACAGTGATGGGAAACTGGAGCTCTCACCAGGTAGGAGATGGAGGCATTCTCCAGATCCAGACAGAATCGGGACAGAACCAGCAGCAGGGCAGGTGGAACGGAACCCCGCTCACTCATGCCCTCACAGAAGTCCTGAAAACCAGGGCAGATGAAAAAACACCAAAATTCGGACAATCTCATGTAATACTATAAACTGTATATGTAAATATTGAATAAGGGAAAATGGGAGACAGCATCAAACAATGCAGTTATTCAGGGATAGTGTGAGGCTTCCTTCCATATGTTGAGGTTTTTGTTTGTCCACATTCAGCAAATATTCAGCTGTATTCAGGGTTTTACACAGTCTTTTAAAAATGGGAGTCATGGTGACTCACAATATATATTTTTGGGAGTCATTTTCAATATTTGGGAGTCATGAAAATTTAATATTTCTTGATGTTTATCATTTTCAGTATGTAACTGTGTATGTCACACCACCAAATGAAACTACAGCATTGTTCAATTCAAACAGCCAGGATTTCTGTCTCCTCTGAATTCTCTGGAACAATCTTACAGCTCTGTAAAAGTCAAACTATCATCAAACAATATAATTTTTTGCTTATCAAATCGATTTTATTGAACTAAATTGTGAGGGCCACCTATAAAACTTGCGTCAAGCTTGACTCGTATGATAGTATTTTGAGAGTCGTTAACAAGCTTGTTGCGTCAAATACACAGGAATCATGCGTCATGTAAAACCCTGGTATGATGACAGACTCTAAACATTCAGGTCTGGACCAGACAATCCAGTGAGCGATAATATGAGAAATAATCCAAGAGGAATGATGACACGACATCAAACAAGTCACCAAGCCTAACCATCTGATTTTGATGTAACCCAGAATCCCCACTGGTAGATTGGTGAAGGTTTCTTGCAATCTTTTCTTCCTGGAATCCCCCAAAGTGAGAGTAAACTTATTTATGCTGGAATCCCCACAAGATGACCAGTGAGGGTTGCTGGTGGTGGATTCTACCCCAGAATCCCCATATTGACAGCATAGGCTGTTGGGGACCTATTTTAACCTGGAATCCCCATATTGACAGCAGAGGCTGTTGGGAACCTATTTTAACCTGGAATCCCCATATTGACAGCAGAGGCTGTTGGGGACCTATTTTAACCTGGAATCCCCATATTGACAGCGGAGGCTGTTGGGGATCTATTCTAACCTGGAATCCCCATATTGACAGCAGAGGCTGTTGGGAACCTATTTTAACCTGGAATCCCCATATTGACAGCAGAGGCTGTTGGGAACCTATTTTAACCTGGAATCCCCATATTGACAGCATAGGCTGTTGGGGAACCTATTCTAACCTGGAATCCCCATATTGACAGCATAGGCTGTTGGGGATCCTATTCTACCCCAGAATCCCCATATTGACAGCATAGGCTGTTGGGGATCTATTCTAACCTGGAGTTCACATACTGACAGCATAGGCTGTTGGGGACCTATTCTAACACAGAATCCCCATATTGACAGCATAGGCTGTTGGGGACCTATTCTAACCTGGAATCCCCATATTGACAGCATAGGCTGTTGGGGACCTATTCTAGCCTGGAATCCAAATATTGACAGCATAGGCTGTTGGGGACCTATTCTAACCTGGAATCCCCATACTGACAGCATAGGCTGAAATCCCTATAATGAATGTGATCAAGACTGCCAGTTGTCATACTTCCATTTTTTTAAGAAGCCACTGAGTCAGATTGCTGACTTTGTGTGCTGGAGATTAGATGCCTCACTTTGAGGGTGTTGGTTTGAATCCTGGAGGGCAGCAACCCAGAAAATGCACAAGAATCCGTTAGAATATATAACGTATGTTACAAAGTGCTGAAGTTACAGATGCATTAACTCACACAGCAGGTAGTTGAGATGTGCTTCAGGAAGGCCACAACCAGCCCTTCTCTCACATCCTGGGTACAGAATGGGCCTCGGAAGTATGGCTTCATCGCGAATGTAATGTCTGTGGCTATGAAAGCCTGTAACAGAAGAAACATGGATAAAGACAGCATTCCTACATGGGAGATATGTGATTGAAGTGGTCATGACACACCGTTACTTCATAATTCACCTCATACATTTCCAACACATTTATACAAATGTTTTTTTAATCTTTGGTCGGCTGATTAGTGTTGAGTGTTAAGACAAGGGTGTACATCTCTGGTCCTGAGTGAGTGAGTGAGTGAGTGAGTGAGGAGTGAGTGAGTGAGTGAGTGAGTGAGTAAGAAGTGAGTGAGTGAGTGTGAGTGAGTGAGTGAGTGAGTGAGTGAGTGTGAGTGAGTGAGTGAGGAGTGAGTGAGTGAGTGAGTGAGTGAGTGAGTGAGTGAGTGAGTGAGTGAGTGAGTGAGTGAGTCAAACCAAGAGCGAGTGAGTGAGTGAGTGAGTGAGTGAGTGGTGAGTGAGTGAGTGGGTGTGGTGAGTGAAGTGAGTGAGTGAGTGATGGAGTGAGTGAGTGATGCAATGACATGTATAAACAAGTCAGGAGCCTGACCACCCGATCATGGGTGATGTGTGACTGTGGCAATGATGAAACACTGTTACCTCATTATTCACCTAATACAATACCTACACATTTATACAAATGGTGTTTTGATTCTTAACAAATCTAGGAAAACAAGAAGACTTCTGAAGAAACATTGAAACATCATGTTTAACCCTGAATCAGAATTTCTGAATAACGTATTATATGTTCAGCATATGACATTCACACATAGAATGTATGTATTGAAGAATGGATGAGTTATTGGCAGAATTGACAAATTTGGCTCCCATGGCACTGCTGCTTAAAATCAGATCAGAATTATCAGTGATCAGTTTTAAAAGACATCATAGTTCCGATCATTTCTTCGAGGTTTCAGCTCTGTGGGCCTTATTCTTTTAGATCAGATGTCAAAAAGGCAGTAACACAGGACAGAGATGGAAGATTTAATTTATTTTTCAAAATAACTTGTATTATGTTATTTTGGCATACCACATACTTGCTGCATATCAAAGTTTGGAATGATACTTTCAGAAATGGCTGATTTCTGAACACAAGTGACACCAGTGCTGTGTTGTTTTACATAATGTTTCTGCTTCGCGGAGCTTGTAGGTTCTGAGGATAATTTGCCAAGATGCAAAAGTAAATGACAGAAGGACATAACTTCTTTATGTACACAAGATATTTCACTGCCCAACAGCTCTTCAGATGAAATGTGTATGATGTAACATCTATGTAACAGAGTGAGTGAGTGAGAATGGTTTTACGCTGCTTTTAGCAACATTCCAGCTATATTACAGCAGGGGAAACCAGAAATGGGCTTCACACATTGTACCCATGTAGGGAATCAAATCCAGGTCTTCAGCATGATGAGTGAACACTTTAACCAGTTGACTACCCCACCACCCCAGTGACAATGGAGGGAGACAGAAAACTGTCATAGCCAACACGTCATTATGTCTTTGGTATCAATAGTGGTGACAAAGACAATAGTGGTGGATGTAAATTCATTATGGTTTCAGTGCACAAATATATATTGAGCTACATACAAAAGTTTTGATAATTATACTTTTGAAAGAAGCTCAGGTTTCAAAAGTCTAATGAATACCTGTTCTTTTTCCAATCATATATATTCATCATCGGCTGTATTCAATATAAATGTTTCCTTGCTTAATAATTTTCATGTAAAAAAATTAAATCTCATTATGGTTGTATTCTATAGTAAACGAAATGAAATCAAGAATGTTAAAAAAAATTGTTTAACTATTCTACAGTTGAGACCCAAAAAAGAAAGCAATCATCCAGATATCTTCTCCATGTCTTCATGAATAAGTTTAAACATTTCGAATACTTTTGAATATACCATCTCTTCTATATTAAATATCCCATCACTTGAGTAGTGTAGGTGCTTCTCTTGTTCACAAGGTTGTTCTGTTTATTGGATGATAAGTACTGTTCTATGATGAATGTAAGAGTGAAATTGCACTCAATAGCATCTGGATGCTTATTCATAATTTAGCCAATATTGCACTGTTTTATATATGTTAATACTGCACAGTATAACTGTCCTGGTGATAATTGCAAACAATGATGACAATTTTACTTGCTTGCCAACGACATTAGAATCTATGTCGAAACGTCGCCCTTCACAGAATAAAAGAAGTTCTATGTCCATAAAAATTGTCATCATTCTTAATAATGTTGTTACCTGATCCATTGTTCAAAATTAAGCACAGGAATCTAAGGGCCTAGGGATAGCATATTTTAAAAACATTTAGATTTAGAGTGTCCCAAGATAAAAAAAAATACTTCCTGTGCCCATTACCCCATTTCGCTCCTGAAACAGTTGACCAGGAAGTGTTTGGATGAGTCAGGACTGGCAACATGTTGGCCCAATGTTGGTCCAATGTTTACCCATTATGCCTAATGATCAGCTGACCATGAGGATAAAGCTGTGTGTGTTCGGATGACACGAAACAATTCCTCAGACAAAAGACTGAGTGTGTAATTGGCTGAGAAGATGGTGAATATGAACTATCAGTACTATAGCAACAGGTGGCAGGGCTATTGTATGAGGCAATCATAGTACATTGCTTTACACAAAACACATTTCACGTATCTATATATTTCATTATACCAACTTCCACATATGATTAAACCTTGACAGAATGTAGTGTATATAAAACACAATGTGGAAACAGATGTAGAACTGGTCATGATCATATGATTGTATTCTTCTATTACCTCCAACAATAGGTAGGACAGTTGGTGCTGGTATATCGGTAAACTGCACTACACTAGTAACATGATATGTTTGGCAATACTGTTTCTGTGTTCTGGTATATCGGTAAACTGCACTACACTAGTCACATGATACGTTTGGCAATACTGTTTCTGTGGACTGGTATACCGGTAAACTGCACTACAATAGTCACATGATACGTTTGGCAATACTGTCTTGGACTGTGGACTGGTATATGGTAAACTGCACTACAATAGTCACATGGTCACATGATACGTTTGGCAATACTGTTTCTGTGGACTGGTATATCGGTAACCTGCTACACTAGTCACATGATCGTTTGGCACTCTGTGGACTCAAATAGTCACATGATACGTTTGGTTCACTGGTATATCAGGTAAATACTGTTTCTGGTGGTAAACTGGCACTACACTAGTCACATGATACGTTTGGCAATACTGTTTCTGTTCTGGTATATCGGTAACCTGCACTACACTAGTCACATGATACGTTTGGCAATACTGTTTCTGTGGACTGGTATATTGTCAGTAAACTGCACTACACTAGTCACATGATACGTTTGGCAATACTGTTTCTGTGGACTGGTATATCGGTAAACTGCACTACACTAGTCACATGATACGTTTGGCAATACTGTTTCTGTGTTCTGGTATATCGGTAAACTGCACTACACTAGTCACATGATACGTTTGGCAATACTGTTTCTGTGTTCTGGTATATCGGTAACCTGCACTACACTAGTCACATGATACGTTTGGCAATACTGTTTCTGTGTTCTGGTATATCGGTAACCTGCACTACACTAGTCACAGTCGCTTGGCAATACTGTTTCTGTGACTGGTATATCTGGTATGTCGGTAAACTGCACTTAGTCACATGATACGCTTGGCAATTGTTTCTGTGTTCTGGTATATCGGTAAACTGCACTACACTAGTCACATGATACGTTTGGCAATACTGTTTCTGTGGACTGGTATATCGGGTAACACTGCACTACACTAGTCACATGATACGTTTGGCAATACTGTTTCTGTGTTCTGGTATAACGGTAAACCTGCACTACACTAGTCACATGATACGTTTGGCAATACTGTTTCTGTGTTCTGGTATATCGGTAACCTGCACTACACTAGTCACATGATACGTTTGGCAATACTGTGTTCTGTGTACACTGGTATATCGGTACTGTTTCTGTTCTGGTATACACTGCAGTCACATGATACGTTTGGCAATACTGTTTCTGTGTTCTGGTATATCGGTAACCTGCACTACACTCAGTCTAGTCAATACTGTTTGATGTGTTTGGTAACCTGCAATACTGTTTGGCTGTGTTCTGGTATATCGGTAAACTGCACTACACTAGTCACATGATACGTTTGGCAATACTGTTTCTGTGTTCTGGTATATCGGTAACCTGCACTACACTGGTCACATGATACGTTTGGCAATACTGTTTCTGTGTTGGACTGGTATATCGGTAAACTGCACTACACTAGTCACATGATACGTTTGGCAATACTGTTTCTGTGGACTGGTATATCGGTAAACTGCACTACACTAGTCACATGATACGTTTGGCAATACTGTTTCTGTGTTCTGGTATATCGGTAACCTGCACTACACTAGTCACATGATACGTTTGGCAATACTGTTTCTGTGTTCTGGTATATCGGTAACCTGCTGGTCACACTAGTCTCTGTGGATACGTATTGGCAATACTGTTTCTGTGGCACTGGTATGTCGGTAACCTGCACTACACTAGTCACATGATACGTTTGGCAATACTGTTTCTGTGTTCTGGTATATCGGTAACCTGCACTACACTAGTCACATGATACGTTTGGCAATGGCTGTGGACTGGTATACTGTTTCTGTGGACACTAGTATGATACGTTTGGCAATACTGTTTCTGTGGACTGGTATATCGGTAACCTGCACTACACTAGTCACATGATATGTTTGGCAATACTGTTTCTGTGGACTGGTATATCGGTAACCTGCACTACACTAGTCACATGATACGTTTGGCAATACTGTTTCTGTGGACTGGTATATCGGTAAACTGCACTACACTAGTCACATGATACGTTTGGCAATACTGTCTCTGTGTTCTGGTATATCGGTTAACTGCACTACACTAGTCACATGATACGTTTGGCAATACTGTTTCTGTGGACTGGTATATCAGGGAAATATACCAACTTCCATCTTTAGTTTGATTGTTTAACCTAAAATCT